AGGTCGATGCCTTCCCCCCATGCGCCAAGGGCCCAGGCCCCTTGGTACAACTGGCCAAGGCCACTTTGGGCGCCTGCGGTAAAGTTGTGCCATGCTCCAGCTGACAAAGTTGAGACAATAGAAATGGTTGGTGGTTGAGCCACCCATCTTGAAAATATTCAACTGGGATAATTAATCCTCCCTACTTTGCGGGTTGAACATAACCAGTTGACACCACCAACCAGTGAAGTATGGTGTTGAGCAACTGTGAAACTCAGCAATGCGTCCTGGATGGTAGCCTTCAAATTGTGAAGGTCCTGCGTCGCTGGGTTATGTTGTTGGGCAGACTCATGCCGAAAGCAGGGGCCAATATTTGCCATATTTGTGGGCTTGTCTGCTTGGGAATTTGGAATGGTGTCACAGAATTTCCAGACTGTCTTGTAAATTGGTACTGATTGATCAATTCTGATTAGGTTTACCCAGTTTACCTTGATTCAAAACTCCAGTTTTTCCCGTTAAAACCGGTTTTTAAACTCCAGCATCACATCATCAATCACTCCTGTGTCCGGACTGGCAACCCGACTGGAGGATCCTCCGCCTCTCGGAGCTGGGATAGCTGGGACGCGAGATGGGTGAAATTGATGGGTTTTTTCCCGAGAGCGCCTGCGAAGGGTTCTTCGTAAAAAAAGCAGCCGTTATACTAGATCTTCACACCTTCACACCTGCAGATCTAGATCTTCACACCTTCACACCTGCAGATCTAGATCTTCACACTCTCACATCTGCCGATCTACATCTTCACACCTTCACATCTGCTGATCTAGATCTTCACACCTTCACATCTGCTGATCCACATCTTCACACCTTCACACCTGCAGATCTAGATCTTCACACCTTCACACCTGCAGATCTAGATCCTCACACCCTCACACCTGCAGATCTAGATCTTCACACCTTCACACCTGCAGATCTAGATCTTCACACCCTCACATCTGCAGATCTAGATCTTCACACCTTCACACCTGCAGATCTAGATATACTAGATCTTCACACCTTCACACCTGCAGATCTAGATCTTCACACCTTCACACCTGCAGATCTAGATCTTCACACCTTCACACCTGCAGATCTAGATCTTCACA